TGGATGGCATCAGATAGGCACCTTTGCATCTCTTAAGGCTAAATCATAACGGTGTTTGTTCCATTCCCACCTCTAGGGGCACTTGAGATTGGTGACCTTGTCCAACAGCCCTAGGGAATCTTTCTGGAGTCATAGGTAGAGCTAGATCAGACATAATTTGAAGGCCTGAGCCAAAAGTTTCAAGTAAAATCCTGCCTGTTCCTAAGAAAGCCCTTGGAGCTATGAGCAAAACTACTGTTAACATTTCTGCTCTCACTCCACAGCTTCATGTGGAGTTTGTCTGCAGCATAACAACTCTCCGAGTGCTTCAGCTGACATTTGCAGTCCTGCTCCTCCTCCAGCCCAGGAGCTTTCTGTCAGTGCATTTTAGTGAGTTTCTCTCTCTCTGGTTATATCCAATGCAATGTCTGTTCAGAGATGACCTACTTGAGTAGTGAATGTAATAAGAATTAAGGACACTTGGAGAAACACTTTTTACTGCCTTAAGAGCTCTGTATTTAAAAATAAACATTCACAGACTTGCTTCCATGCAACAGGTTTCATCATGCATCACACAGTTACACAAGACCTTAGCAGGTCTTTACTAGTTGATAGCTGTTAGTTATTATTTCCCCTGAACATGCAGGTGGCTTATCTGCAGTTGAGTGTGGCATCATTTGTGTCCTGGGATTTGAGGCTTGAAAATAGCAGCATGGGAAGCCTTGTGTACCAATGAACCTCACTTACACCATGGATACATGCAAGAATCCTCCCTCAAACAGAGAGGATACTCAGGTGTATTCTGGAAGTAAAGGGCCTGATGTGACACTAGATCAGGGTACTACAACATGTTCAGACCACATGTTTAGGCACAGCAGAAGCCTATGAAGCACTGCACTAAGCATCTCCAGCACCTGGAGCCCAAAACATCACAATTGATGGCTGTGAGCCTGGGCTTGGTCCAAGGACTGGTGTGTGATGGGAAGGGCCTATAGATTTCAACACGCTTTTTCTGTTAGTGATAAGGACTGAGTTACACTGATTTGTGCAATAGGAAGTTTGTCCATTTCCCACTGCCTCAGTTGCAAAAATGAGACAGAATCACAAAATGGTTTGTGTTGGAAGCGACCTTAGAAATCATCTAGTTCCAGTCCCCTGCCATAGCAGAGACACCTTCCACTAGACCAGGTTGCTCCAAGCCCCATCCAGCCTGGACTTGAACACTGCCAAGAATGGGGCAGCTACAGCCTCTCTGGGCAACCTGTGCCATTGCCATCTGCATCATATTGTCTCATCCCAGTTGTTGCAAACATAGATCCATCAGAGTCCTATTGTTCAACTCAACATTTCTTCTCACTCAGGCTTATGTGGGAGGAGATTGACAAAACAGATAAACTGCTCTTCTGGGAATGCACTGGGCCACAGTTTTAACTGCATAATTCTTAGAGATCTAAGAAAATGACCCATATGGTCATTTTGCTTTCAATCATGGTTGGTTCTCAGTGGTGTCTCTCAGCTGCATCCATCACCCTGTTCTCTTCTCAGTTATTGTTTAATCTTTCACCTTTGTGCACATGCAAATCTGGGTCATGTTAGTCATAAGGAAAACTGGAAATATAAATTTGGTCTGGAAATATAAATCTGGTCTGGAAAGGCTTGTTGTTTCCAGAGTAGAGTGCAAGGGGTCTTCATAATTCCATTTAAAAACAATTTTTTCCTCCCTGCCTTGACTCTCTTCCTGTGGCTGTTGTACTGCAACCTAAGGTTAGCTGTGAAAGGGCTGAGTTTAGAGATCTGAGCCTTTAGCAGTTATATATTCCTGTTACACAGTTTTATAGTCAATAGATGGTGCTCAAAAATAGAGAATCTCATACCAGCTGCTATTAGCACTAGCAAATCACCAAATATTTGCTCTACTTGTGTTAAAGTGGGGTACATAGAACAGAAGAAGGTGAAAGTCCTGTCACAGCTTCTGATGGTGACAGACAATTTTGGGGTGCCTGCATTTGCAAGAACCCAGCTTGAGACCTCTTAAGGAAGGGGGAAAAAACCAACCAAAATTTCAAAGTGTGCACCCCAAAGGGGTCAAAAAATTCCCTGAAGATGGGCCAAGCAGACTGTCTGAGTGGAGAGGTACCATCAAAAAGAATCACTACTCGTGTTTGTAAACCACCTTCTTGTTTCTTTTTGAGACTATTATGATCTCTGATGCCAACCTAAAATGAAGTGCACTGCCAAACATGGCTTGTTTGACTACGGTCAGCCCACGTTAGGCAGCTGTACCCTTACCCACTCCAGCTGTAACAGTTAGAGGGGCTTGGATGTCTCTTTATAAAAGCTAAAATAGCCTTTCTGTGTGTTTAATTGCTGTGTGGCTCCCCAAATCCTCATGGCACCACAGCCTAGCATTCCCAGTCACCTCTCATGAGTAGGAAGCTCTGGCATGGCTGCTGATTCCCTGAGGAGTGGAGAGGAGCCCACCTGATGCCCTTGTTCAAAGTGCTTAAGTTTCAGTGTCCATGTCTGGTAAATCAGTGCCCCAGGCCAGGATTGTTCACTGAGCCCCAGTCAAAAGCTTAGTTTTATGTACTCCCTTGCTCCAAAGATTTGCTGGAAATGGTGCTGTACCTCTTCCCATACTGAGACTTTGGTGATTGAATGCAAGGATTCAGGATTAAGGGGTTGGTTTAACACTTAGACAACTTTTTGATTCCTGACTCTGCCATGCAAATGCTTCAAAGAAATTGTTTCCTTTCACTGCCTAAGCCCTCAGAGGATAAAAGGCATAACCCAAAGTGTCTGGTTGGGACCTTGGGAGGTTGTCCAGGCAGGTTAAAAGGCACCATGGTTGTTCTTGGTGCCTTCTCAAAATGCCCAGCACTGCACCACAGTCTGCCTTGGCATTTGACCCCAGGTGAGAGGGTGCGATCGGGGAAAAGGGGGTACATGTGCCACCCTCAGAGGCAGTGTGGTCTTCTCCATCACTTGTGGCCACAGCTGTGTGGCTGGGGAGTCTTCCTGCTGTGGGAACCACTGAGGCACCCTGCTCCTTGCCTGGTAAAGGTATGATGAAGAGCAGAGCAGGTCCTTGTAGAAATATACATGCTAGTGCCAAGCATGAGGGCAGGGGGCTGTGCCACCACAGGTAATCCTGTAACCTCCACCACACTGCTCACACCTTCACTTGTTGGCACATGGGAATGGTCATGCTGATGTGCTGCTGTTACTGTTAAAATAATAGTTTTGTCTTTCTAACTCAGGTCTCTCCCCTGCACTTCCAGAAGAAAATGTTTTGTCTGATACTATCTTTCAAAAGAAAGAATTTAGGGAAACTATCTTCTTTTACCAGTCTGAGTATGGCAAAACCTGGAGAGTTCTCTCTGCTACCAGTACATGTTTCCTGCTGTTATAGAGAGCTGTTTGGGTAGAGGAGTAAACTGCAGAGATGACTCAGACTGCCATTTTTTAGCTAGTAATATACTATGCAGCCTATTTATGTAAAGATAGATTAGCCTGGTTCACTGGAGTCGAAAATTCTATTTTCTCCTGATAAGCTGGACATAGAAAGCTATCAAATCATATTAAATTATTTAGCAGAAAATCTAGCTGGTGTTCCCCTTCATCCTGGAGACAAGTGCAGTGTGAGGCCTGATCTCATTTCAGAGAACATTCTCAAAAACAGTGGGTTTTCCTTGTAGCCTTTACCATGATCGCTCTAAGAATTTCAAAATGTCCTTCTTTTTCCACTCTCACTCTCATTTTGTTTTGCCAATGGATTCAGCTTCCATCTTGTGAGAAGCTACAAACTATTTCAGAAGAATACTGACTAGTGATTGGGAAAATTAAAGCAAACTTGGGGAAATTTCACTAAATAGGTCATGATCTTGGGGCTATCTGTATTAAGATACCTGAAAGAGAATTCATTGTGAGATGAAAATGAGAAGGTCCTTTTAGGAGCCTTTGTACTCCTTCTTTTCTCCATAATAGGCACGATTCCTTATGTAGAATTTAGCAAATTTGTCCTGAGACCAATCAGCTTGTCAGATAGGTGGGGAATAACTATTTATAGTCCTACCCAGAGAAACTCTTCTGTCTCTTCATCTCTTTAACCATTTAACCTCCCTCTCCTCTTTCCTAAGTAAAGAATGTCCCGAAATGGAGAAGCTTTCTTCAAAGGTTCAGGGGAACAGTCAGTGATGTGGGCTGGCATGCAAAGTCTGAAGGCATTGTGAGAACAAATGGCAGTGCAGTCAGAGGAAAATCTCCAAAAGACTCTTCCTCTTTGTTGCTTTCAATTTGCAACAAGCTACAAATTGTGAACGAGCATGTAAAGGTGAGAGGATATTGCTTGAAATGCTTCCGTCCACAGCTTTGGGGCTCATGGTCTCTATCAAAGTTTGTTGCAGAGTGCAAATGAAAAGAAAATAGGTGAAACTGCCCAATCCCTCCATTTCAATCTATTTTGTTTCTTCTTTCAAAGTCATACTGATCTCAAAGCACATGATCAAAGGGTCATCAGGTGATTCAAGAATTTGGAAAGGAATTTGAGGGTAAACTGTGAAGTCAAGTTTGGTTTTAGTACAGTGCTATGGGGAAACACTGCATTTCAAGTGTCAGTAACCCCTTTCCTGTCCTCATGCACCTACTTTGGGGTTTTGGAAGAGTTTTTTGTTGTGTTTTTTTTTTTTTTTTTAATTTAGCTTTACCAAGCAGATCAGACTGATCCTGATGTGGTAAAAAGTTCTGAGGTCCACACTCCAACATTTGACATTACCAGGCTTCATTGCTGTGTTAAACATGCGCCATGCCTCACACCCCTACTGCTACTAAAACAGCCAAAAACTCAGGTAGGTCAACAAATCCATGGGCTGAGGTTACTCATTCATTTCACTGCAGTCCCCAAGCCAGAACCCAACACACACAAGGCTCCAGTGCAGCTCTCAGCTCTGCTACCTCCCCTTGGGGAGAGCTTTGTGTCCGCGAGCAGCACATGTTCATCCATTCGATGAACCATGTCATACCTTGATGCTCTTGAGATCGATTGCAGGTTCTTTGGGTTTGGCTGGTGCAGGTGCTGGTGCTGGTGCAGGTGCTGGTGCGGCTGCTGCTGGTTTCTTTACGTCCTTCTTTGGTGCCATTTTGTGTTGCTTAAACTGGAAAGTAAAGGTGCCCTAAAAACCCCAAAACTTAAAACAAAAACAAAAAACTCCCTTAGAAGCGATTCCTGGGTGAGGAGAAGTGGTCAGAATGAGCTACAGCCTGTGCCCTGGAGGTGGACCCGAGGTGCTAAACTCTGTAAGAGCATATATATATTTCACTTAGTGCCTCATACAGTCCTGACACATGCAGCTGGATTGGACAGCTTGATAATCAAGGGGGATGTCATTCCAGCTCGAGCTATAAATGGAATATAAGAGTTCAGGGCTTCATAAGATCAAGCGACTTTGGTGGCTTTTTTTTTTCTTTATAAACCCCAACCACCTCCCCTGTCCTTTTTTTTTTTTTCAGGCATGCAAAGGAGAGGGAAATATGACAAGCCCAGTTTTGGATCTGCCATTGACATTCAGGCATGGATTGAACAATCCTTTCTCTCATCAGAATTTCAGTGCTTCTTAAGCAATAAATCTTCTTTCTTTCCTTCCCTCCCCTTTTCCCCCATGCATGTGTAGCACTCCAGGAGGATTTGGTTTCAAGTAGGAATTTTGACTTTCATGGCTGGGAAGATCATCATCTTCCAACCTCATTTGCCTCTCTCCCCATAGCCCCTCACTCCTCCTCTGCTTCCTTCTTTTACAAGGAAGTGTTGATCAAGCAAAGGCTCTGAGTGTTTAAAAATAAAGCAGACAAATATGGAAAACACTGCGGTACCTTCAGCCAAGGCATCTCTCCCTGACGTGACCCTGAGTGTCTTTCAGCTGTTCTTACTATTCCTTTCCAGCATGTTAAGACTGTGTTTAAAATTGAAAATTGCTTCCTTTAATCTTTTTCTTTGATCTTCTTTTTCCTCTGGTAGGGATAAGCTGCGCCCTAATAGAATGGAGATCAGCTGGATGTTATGGCTTCCCACACAAAAGGCTTCCTTTTGTAATGCATTTGTCATTGGAAAGTAGCCATCAGATGAAGGAGGCACTTCTGTTTTCACCTCGTTTGCTGCCCATCCTGTGTCTCTTGTTTATCTTTCCACCCCTCAGTCTCCTGATGGACCTCCCTGCCCCCCATGCTCTCCAGGAGACACAACTTTCAGAAGATGTCTTTTCTCTTTTCAGTAGACCTTTTTCAAGCACAGCAAAACAGCTTCTAACTCTTTCAAACCTGATAGTTTCCCCTGGTCCATACGACTGAGATTTTCTGCAGAAAAATCCAGGAGTGCTGATTGTTCTTCCCTTGTCCAGCAATCCCTCTCTCATTTACTCTCCAGACTCCTGAAGTTCTGTGCTAGTAAGTGCAAGGGTTTCGATGGGGGCCCATATTTCTGTCTCATGGACTGTACTATGGAGGAATATAGAGCCTGAAGTCCTGGACAGAAAATTGGCATCCAAAGTCTGTTAGGGTATCTGAGCACTTGCATTTTAGAGTAGTGTATTTTAAAAAAGGTAAACTTACCCAAAAAATGCATGCTGCAAAAGGGAGGAGAGTGGTTAAAGGTGTATTTTCATGTAAGTACACCTATGCTCAGAGCTCTTCTTTGCTACAGCTCATGACCTTGAGCAAGACACTTCGAGGAAGTTGAATCATCCCCTTTTCACTCAATAGACCTGTAATGATGGATGTAATTTGAAGCCTTGAATCAGTCTCTGCTGTAGGGAATAAAGACCAGGAGAAATTTTATTTCCTATTTCTCTGCCTGAGCTCTGCTGGCTGCTTCCAAGGTGCTTTATGGAGGGATCCCTGCTCTGCTAGTCTGTCTGGGAGGATGAGAGCATGGACTCCCTTGCACTGCTGCAGGTCAACAGGAGCCTGTGGGATGCCATCCCTGAGGGGCCTGATGGGGACATGTCTGGTGATGCTGAGGTTTTACATTGCGCAAACCAAACTGCAGCAAAACTCACCACTGGAAATGGATTCTGGAGGTGTAACTTGGGTAGAAACAGTCTAAAACAATTTTTATACATCACTACACCTATGAGAACTTTAAGTGACTACAAGAAAGAACCAGTAATGATCTAATAATTTCTACAGTCACTTGAGATTTGCAATGGAATAAGCTTGAAAGCCACCATCAAACATATTTTTAAGAGGAAGACAGGCCTTCAGGAATGAAGGATGAACTTGGTGCTGTCTCTGCATGATGTGGCCCATCTAAGAATTCAGATGTGTCTGGGTGTGCTTCATTCTGCCAGAAAGGGAAGTTTTGTGAGGTGCTGACCTAAAATAATTGTATATTGATCAGATGAGAAGATAAACAGGTGTGGAGGAGGAGGAGGTTAGTGGGTCCTTAATTCAGTTGCTTTTTTAAGGATTTGGAACCAGTCAATTTTTTGGTCCTGGAACAGGACACTGTGGGTTTGTCTGCCTGGGAAGCTTGGATGTGTCCCAAGGCATCTCTGAGAGTGCATCGGGTCTGTCCCTAGGGAGCAAAGCTGTTCCAGGTAATGCAGAGATGATGTGTCCCTGTGGCATGAAGCTGTGGCAGGGGAGGTTTAGACTGGCTATTAGGAAAAGGTTCTTAACCCAGAGGGTGTTTGGGCACTGAAACAGCTCCCAGGGAAGTGGTCACAGCCCCAAGCCTGACAGAGTTCCGGATGCATTTAGTCTCAGGCACATGGATTCTGGGGCTGTTCTGTGCAGGGCCAAGAGTTGGACTTTGATGGTCCTTGTGGAGCCCTTCCAACACAAGATATTCTATGATTTTATGATCTTGTCTGGGTGCTGCCATTGGCAGGTCTCTGGTGGTGCCATACCATCTTGCCCTGGACTGCAGAGCTGGTTCCAGGGGCTGCAGCAGGAAGATTTCGCTTCCACTTTTAGCAGCCGCTTCATGCAAGGAGGAATCCTAGAGCAGATCCCAGGCTCTCCCTCGTGCATGCTGGGACTTGCTGAAATCCACTTCTAATGGAAAGTGGCAGCAGCTGGGGATGAGAATTCACTGGCATCTGCCTCACTGTGTGCACTGCTCCTGGGCAGTGCACGGATGCTTCTCTCCTGCAGGAGAATTCACGTGGAGGGGATGCATAATGAACAGTAATAGAGTTTCAGATTTCCTGAGGCCCTGGAAAATCCAGTAGTGAGAAAGCTGTTGGTTGGACACCATGCTCTATTAGCCCTGCTGCTCACTGACACTGGGGGCAGCTTGCTTGGGGCTTGTCTGTTTTTTACTGGTTTAATCAATGAGGATGTGGTTCTGGCCAATGCAAAACTTCTATGTATTTGGGCTGGATTTAGTGGAACTAACATAAAGGAAGTGTGTTTTTCATCCAGATCACTGACATGATTCATTCAGATACTTCTGAATTGGAATATATTCCTTTTTTCAGGCTAAAATCACCGTAAGGTGTTATCAATTGCAGCAGGTCAGAAGGAGAAGTCTGCTGCTACCAGGGTAAGTTTGCTCAGAAGAACTGAGGCCAGTGGTCTCCTTTTGGGTGCTTCACTCTGCTCGAGATAGCCTGGACAGCCAGAGGGGTAGTTTAGAAGGCCACAGAGGAGGATGTATCTTTTGGGAAAGATCATGCTAACTTATATGCTACTTTATATGGAAGTTTAGTGCATCTCTGTTTCAGTGCTTGCTTCAAACATGATTCCTTGCTTTGTTTTGTGGAATTGTAGGTGAGTTCATGACAGGATGCCAGATCAAGCACCAGGAGAAGTGTTGGTCACTCAGAAGGCTCTGGTGGGAGTTTGCTTTCAGGCAAGGTGTGAGAGTATAGACTTTTTACAAACACTTAAGCACAGTCAGCATATTCCAGTCTCTTCCTGGAGCCTTTCTCCTGTCCCATGCACATGTATCTGCTATCATTTCAGCTTCTGTGTTTTCTCTTTACTGTGATCAACTCCTGTCTGACACCTGTTGCTGTTAAGTATTTGCTGTGCTCCTCTTCTGAAGGGTGGGTGGCTGCAATGTCAGCAGCAAAAGTTGCAAGTGTAGAGGTACCGTTTGGCAAGCAGTGAGCTTTGAGGAAGATTGCGGTGCCCTGGAGCTGTCCCCTGCTACACCCACCCACTTTGTTCAGCCCATAAGTGGGAAGGGATCCTGTTTTCCAAACTGAACACAGGGATGTTCATGAAGAAGCATTTTGAACACAAAGTTCAGTGAAATTAAAAGTGAATGCATGGAAATGATGTTTTTTCCAACACCAGTTGGATTGTGCACCCTGTTGCTGGAGTGGTCTTTGAGGTCAGGAACTAACAAGATCCAGGAAGGAATACTGAGGCAGTTATCAGGAATATATAACTTACTATAGTTCATAACAGACTTGGAAGGAATATACAATCCATTTTACTGTGTTTCAGCAGTTCTTGAACTGATAGAGACTGGGTGTGTATTTCCACACCAAGACGTTGCAGAGATTCTTGTGCTCTTAAACGTGATTTTGGCCATAAAAGAGAGACAAATTACTTGTTTGGTTTTATTCTTGCATGTTTCACCACAGGCCTAGAGTAACAAGCCAGGGATCCACTGCCAGCAAACTTTCACAACCCCAGCTTCAGCTGTAATGCTGTGTGCAACAGGGTGTCTAATTAATCTGCTAATGACTTGGCTTTGTCAGTGCTCACAACATGCAAGGCATTTTCAACACAGGAAAGCAAAGCCATTTGCCATCCAAGATGCTCACAGCTGCAGGACACCCCGACGTGCTGCAGAAGTTTATGTAGAAGAGAGACAAGCCCAATAAACAGCCAGGTCAGCATGTTTTTAGGGGTCTTGGTGTGAGGGGGGTGCCCTGTCCTCAGGAAGGTGGTCTGGCAGCAGGGCACAGTGTGGGGGGAGACCTGCAGGTGACTGTGCAGGGGTGTTACCAGGAGACAGTCAGGAGTGGCACCATGGGATCTGCAGGTGGTGGGAAATAGGGCAGTGATGGATGAACACTGGAGACAGCTTTATATAATGGCACAAAGGTTGGATTACATGCACAAACGAGGGGCTCTGTTGGCTCAGGGGAGGAGATGGGTGTGTTTTGGAGGGACGATTTGCCTCTTGGCTCTTTCAAGTGCTGCGTAAGGCGTTGGTAGCCTGAATGCAGCCAGAGGCACGTAGCAGTCTCAGGGCAGTGTGGGCTGAAGTCAAACCTTGCTGAAGGAGCAGGCAGAGGAATGAGTATCTAAAGAAGAGGAGAGAAGGCACCAACTGGTGCACCACATATAGCCTACGGCTGACTTAGCACTTGTGCCCTCCTGCTCAAGGTTTTCTAATTCCGTCCCAGACGATGTCAGTGCTGCCCAGCAACTGGTGGCGGCACATACAAGGCATTCCTTGGAGAGCCAGTGATCATCTCTGTCACCCCCTGCCTCCCCTCGAGGAGGGCTGACTGCGGCGGGAGCAGCTTCCTGAAGGTGTGCCTGCTTCTCAGCCTTCCTGGATAATTTGGGGGCTGCCTTCAGCTCAGGTCCAGACAGCTCACCTTCCCAATGCCATCGTTCCCTGAGGAAGAAAGTGTTACTCAAGTGCTCTTTGCAGTTTGCTTTCCACTGTCCTGTAAAGTGTTCAGTCATTTTCTTGGCACCTCAGTTTCCTCGGCATGAGCACCACTTTATAGATCACTGAGCAACCAGGCTCTGAAATGCGAGTGCCTGGCTAAATGTGACAACAGTATGCATGAGCAGGGCTGTGGTTGAGGCAGAACGTGTGTGGAATCCCACCAGGCAGGACTGTGTACCAAGGAAAGCACTAGCTGGCTGGGGTACTATGGAGTTTTAAACGTAAACATTAGGCTCTGGATAAGATGTTAAACTCTGCACACTCTCCCACACTACATAGGATAAACCCCCCTTGACGCTGCTTTGGGAAACTGTGATTCCTGTCTCTTCAGGGCCCTACAGCCTGTGCATGAGCTGCAGAAATTCCCTGCCTTTCCCTTCCTCCCTTTACCCTGGAGCATCCAGCAGTGAAGTTATATTACTGCCCATTTAAAATGAACTGTGTCTTTCTTGGGTCTCATTTTAATCTACTAGAAGATGAAGTGACTTAGACTTGGAAAGGGCATTAAAGGATAGCTCAGTATATGGCTGAGTCCTGCACTGCCTGGAAGGTTTCATTGTGACTTATGGGGCATCAGCCTCAGTTCTTTCACTTTTTTTTCCTCCATCTCACTTCTGACATGAAGTGCTCCAGGCTGTGAGTCAGCCCAGGATCTCAAGGCCAAACTGGCTTAATATGATGTGGTTTAAGTTTTGCTGATTTCTCTTAGGGATCATTGTGACACTTAGTGTCATGGTCTAGTAACCATGGTAGGGTTGGACTTGATGATCTTTGAGGTCTTTTCCAACCCAGTTGATTCTATGATTCTATGATCATCTGAGCTTGAAATCTCTCAAAACTCAAAGGTCATATCTGTTGTTAGGAAATCTGGTGCTGCCACAGTCCAGACCTCTTTTTGTCTCTTCAGCCATCAGTGAAGATTTCTCGATGACCGGAGGTATGGATAGCTTTCAAGGCCTGGAGCTTGAGGACGTGAGCACCGCTCTCTGAGATCAGATGTTCTCTCTCCTTGTCACTGAAATCCTGTCTCTGCCAAGCATGCAGTCTGCATTTGCTTTAGTATTGCTAAATGCCCAGACACTCCAAAACGTGTTTGATACACCAGAACACACTGTTTTCTAATTGCATGCATGATTCTTGCTGTTGTGTTAGAATGTAAGTGGTATGTGGCTAAGTCACATGCAAACCTCGAGCCAACCCAGCAAGAAGGAAGCTGTAAGAACTAAAATTTTCCAGCTGTCTCCATGCCTAACAGTAAGTACTTTGAATTTATGGAACCTATGTAGGTTTCAGATAATACTTGTGCATTTTGAATCACATCTATGAAGATGATGTTCTTTGGGGAGAGAGAGCTATAACTACACTATCGTATGATAATCACATTATACATGTCTCAGAAAACTGTTTTAAGAATGTAAGTAGCATTGTCAAGGCTTATTAAGCCCTGACAGAGATCCACACGAATATCTAGAATATAATCTGTGCAGTGGTTGTCTCAGAGGACAAAAATGAACATAAAGCATTTGATGAGCTCCTTGTTCACAGGAATCAATATGATAATGTTTCTGAGCATCCTGTCTAAAAAGTGTCTGTATGCAGGGAACTGACATGGAAAGACAGAGCTTGACATTTTGGGTGGGAAGTTTGGGGGTTTGAGGCTCTTGTGTCTGGTGGCAGTGTTTCCTGTGGCACACCAGCTGTAATGGATGCTGTGCCTTTTGGTCCAGCCATCCCAGCTCAACGCCACCTGTGGACTTGCATTCTCCCATAGCATTAAGAGGTCCTTTCTGGTGACAACGTGTCCCCTTACCCTAGCAGGATTTTCATTCCCAGTGCCCAGCCCATGGCTAGAGAGGTGTCCTCCACCCAGCAGGCAAAGGAGGCTGCAGGCAGGGCTTGGCAGGGCTTCCTTGCTCTTCTCCAGACAGTCAGGGGTAAAGAGTCTCCTTTCAGAAATGTTAAGATGATGATGTGGGTCCCTTAATGCTTTTAGTGGGAGAGGGGAGACTCAGTAACCAGTGATGCTGCAGTCCAAGTGGACAGAGCACACAGTGAGCTGCCAGTTGCTTCTTACAGGAGTTAGGAAAGTCTCACCACTGCCAGCAATAAACTTAGCCAAGCTTTTTAAAACTAGCTGTGATGGAGCTTGGCCTTCTGTGCTGTGCTCGTCACACCTTTGTGTCTGAAAACAAACCTTGGTGAAGCACTGGGAAACCCTCCCATTGAAGCTGTTCATGGGTGCAAGCCTGTTTGTTGGGGAGCTGTGATGTAGGCATGAGAAATGTCTTTCCTCCAGGGTCTATCAAATAGCTGTGCTGGCTTTAAATAGAGCACTGCTGCTGCACCCCTTATTTAGCTGTAGGGAGGCAAGTGACACGGTGATGCTCAAGAATGTAATTTTGCTTCTTGTGTGACCTATGAGATCAGAGGTTGTTAGCAGGAGATACGCAGTGATTCTCACAGAAGGTGCTGTTGGATTCAGGAGCTGGAAATCCTGTGGGGTTGGGTGAGATGTCAGAGCACAAGGGCTGAACGAGCCCCTGGAGGGGTCTCTGGCCATAAGGAGTGACTGAGCATCTTGAATGCCCGATGGAAGGTTTGTGTGCCTGGTGTTTGGCAGCCAGTACAACCTGCCTCTGCCTCCACCTGTAGCCCTTGCAAATGCTGTGTTCAAAGTTGCAGTTTCAGCTAAGATGCATGCAATCAGGTATTGGGTGGTCTCCTAGAGAGTGCAATATGATCAAGGCTGAACTTCAGCCCCTTCTGCATGAATAGCCAGCCCTGAGGGCTTTTCTCCTGCTAGTTAAAGTTCTGTCAGAGTCAGATGCCTTGCAATATGAGATGCTTCAAAGCTGCCAAAGAGCGGCTGATGACATACTTTAGAAGACTGTTACTCTCAAAGGTAGTTCAGAAATGCCTGTTATTTTTATTAAATACTTTTGTCCCAAACTCATCATCCCAAGCAACTCTGTTAACCTGATAGAACTGCAGCAGTCGGCTGTGGATTGTTCTGGGGGCATATGCAGGGGTGACTTTTAACCCTTTTTGCTTAGAAGGTCATTTCTACCTTTCTCCTTGAGAAATATTGGATCATAGAAGTGGGAACAGCAAGTGCAGCTGGACCCTAAGTGCCAAAGCTGATTTGGATGAATGTTTGTAGCAAGAACAGTTTAAATGACCATGGTTAAGTGCAGTGGCAAAAGTCTTCACTTCAGTAGTTTTAGGGGCCCTGAAATAGGTGGGAGATCAGCTTCTGAAAGCTGATGCTGTCATGCAAGGGTTGTCTGACAAACCCCAACTTCAGGACTTGTTTAAATTATGCTGCAGTGAACATTCTCCTTCAGAGACTGTTGTGAAATCATTTTGTGTGTGTTTTGATTTGTCCTTGTGAATGTCACAGATAGGTAATGTCTGACAAAGATGTTTCATTAATTCTTCTCTTATTGTGCTGAAGTGAATTGGCAGGGACAAAGGAGATTGCTTAGATTTAAATTCCAAGCTTTTGACTTAGGATTTGTACAGCAGCTATAAAAAGACACCATCTCCCAGTTTCAATGCTGCTCCCTGCAGTGAGTGTGCAGGTTTCTTATTACGATAAAATCACATTGAGATAACTGAGGGATGTAAGAATCAAGACATCTCTGGCTATCCAACCTTTCCTTTGTTGGACGTGTTTTCCAAGGGGTGGGAAGTGATGTAATGCTAGTAGCTTCCTGCCAGTGCCCCTCTTCTCCCTCTTCCTGAGCTGGATGCCAGTTCAGCACAGCCTTTATAGGGCAGTCTGGAAATGGGGAGCAGCTCTGCTTTTAATAATGCCATAGTAACAGCCTATGAGGTGTGAGGCTGGAATGCAAATTTTGTGTCTGCTGGCTTTGGGGATGGAATATCTATCTCCCATTTGTACTTTTTTTGTTATCTGGAAGCAAAGGAGACTGTCAGGCTCCTTTAAAATTAGATGGGGCTTATGTTCCTTTAGAGCATCACTGTTGTCCCTGTCATCTTCTCTTTGCATCACTTTTGTCTTTAAACTTACAGTTTCCTTTTGTTGCCATTATGGAGGCAAAGTTTTTGTCTCCCCTTCTGAAAGGTGCAATTTCCACAAAGATCATATAGTGGTTCTATAATTTCAGCAATAATTAAAGAGCTGTAATCAACTCTGTCTGCTGTGGGCTTTAATGCCAGTGTGCTGCTAATCCTGGGGAGCATGTTTGCTTCCCTACCCGAGGGTGGTGAACACTGAAAAGCACCTTGTCCCCACTCCCAGCACATCTAACTGAACAGATCTGCTTACTTCACAGCAGAGTTCAAAACTGACATTCCCCAATTCCTAATTAATTTGACAAGTGTGTCTTGTGCCACAGCCCTGTCCTTTCAAAGGGAAGGAGAAACCTGAAGCTGCAGTACGGCTGTGAACCCTCTCTCTTGTGGTCTGAGAGGAGTGGTGTGTTTGCTGCAGCTGCAGCTTGGGATTAGACAGCTGAAGAAAACAGTCCAGCACAAAGTGGCAGTGGCAGCTCTGGGGATAAGATGACATCTACCAGGGGGAACGTGTTATTGGCAGCTTCAGCAGCTGAGGGTTGCTCTTCCCTCTGACGCAGACCTGCTTTCCATCAGCCTGTGCTCAATAATGAGGATGGTAATTGTTATTTATTGGCCAAGGATTTCAGTAGTCAAGTGATTTTCAGAGACCAATTTGGGGTTTTCAGAAAGTGATGAACACTCTCCTCTTAGAAACAAAACCAAACAAACCATCCTGCGGCCTCCTTTCATGGATTTTTAAGCTGAACATCCTCCAAATCAAGGTATCTCAATTCACTTCATTACAAAAATCAGTTACTACAGATGGGTTACCAAAGAGCAAGTGATAGCTAACTCTGCTTCTAATGATGTCTCTGGGGCCACAAGAACGTGTAGTACACTGTACATTGTGTGCTGCATGGTTAGGGTTTAAATTAGGGAGGAAAAGGTCCAGTGGTATGAGGAGGATGCAAGCAAAGGCACAAATACAGCCAGTCTGGTAAGAGAGTTCAAGGCATAAGGAGACCTAGGAAAATATGTGTGCAGAGAATTTTGGCACCCAGCATACCGAAGTGGTATCACCTGCAAACGGTTGGATGCTGAATTGATGGGAACAGTTCTGTTCTGAGCCGTAGGGGCAGGGCAAGTCTGCACACTGGCCACATCATGGGGTCTGAATCCCCATCCCAGGGCTCATGAGTCAAACAAAAAGTGCTCAACCGATCTGGAAAGCAAAGATATGGGAAATTTTATGACTTCCAGTTCACTTCAAGAAGATGACAGTTCAGTTTGGTTTCCAGCTCTTTGTTCCAGGGTCAGAAAAGTCTCCTAGTATGCCTTTTTTTTCCTCTCAATGCATTTGCTCTTAGCTCCTGTCTGTTCACCTTCCCACAGCCATTGCACACTAGCAGTTGGATTTTTCTGTATTGTCTATTTTCCCAGCCCTAAATTTGTGCTCATGAAAGGCTTCCAGTCCTGTGTCACATCTAAAGGTTATGTCCAGTGATTTAGCTGGAGCTGAAGAAAATGTGGCCTACAGCTAGCAAGGCTCTTGGGGTGCCTGGCCAAGACATCCCTGCTGTTTTTAACAGCTCCCTGACAGTCTTGGCCAGTCAACATGATACACTTCATTTCAACTTGGTTCCCACACAGGCAAATGACCTTTGCAGTGGTTGAGTAAAGCATCTCAAAGTTTCCTGGTCCTATTAAGGATCTAGTGACAGTTTCCTTGCTGGTGGGCTGTGCACTGCTCAGAGTTCATAAGCTCTGGGCATGCACGTGCATGAAGGACAGGGTTGTGATTCACATCCTGACATAAAATAATCCCAATCCAGCCTAGTTCCCTGTGACCTATCCTCACACAGTACATCTCCTGCAAGCTGCTAGGGCTGGGCATGGCTGGCTGGGAGCAGCTTTCCCCCTCTAGCTGAGCTGGCAGGCCTGCCCAGAGGCAGGGAGAGGGGAGTTTTTCCATGGCAAAAGCACTGGTAGCTATCTATGAGATGTGGGATGCTGCCTTCTTCCTGATGGCTGTAGATCCAGCCAAGCCTCATCTCCTTGCCATGGTTGTACCTCCTGACTGTGAAGTATAGGGAATAATCAAAGGCAGAAGAAGCTGATAATGGGTTTATCAGAGGAGCAGTGATTCAGATCTTCCTTCATTTGGGAAATGAAGCACTTCTGTGAAGACTTTTTCCCCCAGATACTCTCTCACAAGACTTGGAAGGCATAAATGTTGGAGCCATCGTATTAATTTTGCATTGCCTTCAGTTCTATATTGGTACATTTGAGCACTTTGAAAGTGCTGTATAAATATTACTATTTGCAGCATGGCAAATGCAAAAGCAGCATCTTCAGATTTCAAGCTCTAACTGGGGTCCCTCTGTGAAGTGCCACATCAAGAAATACTGAGAAACTCTGCCTCAGAGATGCTGGAAAATGAGCAAAAGAAATGGGAGAAAACCACAGCAGAGAGCAGCCAATGACTTGTTGGAATAGCCCCATCTTGGCAGTTGCAGAGAGAGGAAGGAGATTTGCCTGCTGAGTCCCAGTTGAAGGCAAGGCATGTCCACTGGAATGAGCTGTCTCATCTGGACACCTTTCAAACCACCTCCAGCCCTGTTCTCTGACTTTCTGTCCTTTTGATGACATTATGATGTTTAGAGAATTGTTGGGGTGTCACACATAGACTTTGGACAGTTGAGTCCAACCCTTTGATCCCAACTGGATGAAGG